ATACCGTACTTTCTTATTATAGTGGTACCCCTTACGTTCATTATCAATTAAAAACCCATTTCATCAAAAATACTCTAGATTAAAGAACAAAAAATGTTAAAATGATGCCACACAATAATAGCAATAATAATAAATACCTTTTTTAAATGGTTGTTTCACATCTTCCGAGAGATTAGAAGCTTCAGATGATGTGGACTCAAAGGAATCTTCACTTTCCCCCGATACTTGCTGAAATAACTAGTTTATATGAAGCTAAATATAGAACTGATTTGATAGTGTTGTATAGCCTAACCACATAAGTTAGCAACAATAAATACTTCTACACACACATAAATATCTGAAACTCTGCATCCGTTAAAGTCTACCTTCAAAGAGTAAAAAGGACATATATGTAACTACCTGCGTCACATGGCTGATTTTCTACTTGTGAGGTCAATCCGCACGCATTAAAGGATTGATAGGGTATCAATTGGAAGACTTGGATGGCATTTCTTAATTCTTTATTGATTTCTTAAGTTTAAAGGGAAAGAGCTACATATATGTTGTACGCATGTAGAATCTTTGTTTACAAGATTTCCACTCATTTACCCTATGAGTAATTCGGACGTTGCAAACTGATTTTGCTATTCATTTCCTAATGTTATCTCTTTGTTTGGCAAATTTCTTCTTTTTTACACTTTTTTCTTCTTGTTGTATGGCAACTTAGAGTGTATTAGGGTTTAGGAGACTACTTTTATTCATTAAATGTGATTGTTCAAGTGTAAAAATGGATAAAAGCCCTAGTGTGATTTATTAGTGTCATATTTGTTATATATCAACATAGATTTATCCCCATTAATCAAAACACTCATAAATATACTAAATCTGTAGTTGTAGTTTTCGTTAGACCCTACCTCACCTAAAACACCATAACCCATTGAGTGGACATCCACATAAACCACCATGCAAGACTCAACTAAGCACACGAACAATATGGGACACTCAACATGCATATGCTAAGAGATACGCCATGAGGTCATTCACACATATTTTCATCTTCCACCTTTTTATCAATCACCGTGTGCATATAAATCCCCAACTGTCCAAAATCAGTGTCGCTTTCCATCTACCTCAAGTTAGTTTTATGTCTCTGTCCTTTAAGAATACACTCTCCTTGTAAGAGGGTTTACCTCTCCAAGACAAACCAGTAAAAATTCATGGACTTCGTTAGCCCCATCTAATGACTAAATTTGATTCTTAAATTCTATCATTCCTCCAATTTAATAAGTTTACCTTCTCAAAGCTTTCAGGATTGTGTGGAACAAGTTTCTTTAGTACTTCATCAGATGTGTGGACATCCCCCTCATCATCCGTGGCTTCAGACTTATCCCCATTGCTTTCCCATTCCTCATCAGCTGCATCAGTAACATCATCAGCTTCAGACTCTGAAGTATACTCTTCAGCAGATTCTGCATCATCATCAGACTCACTTTCAGTAGAGCAATCTTCAGTGAAATCCTGAGAACAGGTGCAGATTATGGGCATAAGGAAAGGCTTGTGACACTTTCTGATAGTTGTTTAGCATCAACGAAAAAGCCAATAAGTACTCCAGTACATGAGGAGGTGGCACTATCACTTACATAGGAAGCTAGAATGCTGTTATCAAGAACTAACAGTGGAACTTTCAAATCCTTTGCAACTGCTCTAACTATTCTTTCTCGGTAAAGTTCAGCACCTGCCATTATCATCAACAAACAAATCATGACTAAAACCCAGGCATATGAGTAAGGACTTCCAGAAAACAAAGAAAATAAGGCATGAACAAGGAGAATTTAAAAATGAAAAATAGAAGTCAAATTCAATGATGACGGTCTAAAAAGGAGTATATAGAACTCAACCAGGAACCGTGTGAAGCATAATTCTCCCACTGGATGCATTTAAATGGCAACCGTAATCCAAAGAAAGCTTGTTGTACTTTAGATGTGAGGCAGCACATTCTATCAGGAGGCTCTTACAATGTTCTCTAGTACAGTAAATTATTATTCACGTGGATTAGTGATAGTGAACTGAGATTAGAAAAGGAATATGAAGTAATTAAGATGAAAAGCACTTACGGGACATAATAAGGAAATGTGTCCCATGATATAGCTATACTCTCCCATGGGACAATCCGCCTTAAAAACTCATTTTTAAATCTTTCTCTTCTAGAAAGAAAAGGTGACTCTTTCTTCTTATTCTCAATTGATAGCTTTTCATTGTTTAGCCATTCCTTTTGCTCTAGCTCACCAAGTTCAACATGTGCATCACAATATCTCACATGTTCACCAACTTTTTCTTTCATGCTACCCTCGTTTATAGTATTGGGGCATTGATCCTCACGTGCATTTCTCCCATCACCTTCAGAGCTATAAAACCTCAACTGGCTACAACCTAAACATATATCTGACCATCTAATCAACCTTATATCTTTCTTTCCATGACCGTTGCTAGGTAGCTTGAAAGTATGTAGCAGATGCCTTTGGATCAAAGTACCTTGAAACTTGTACCTCTCAAGAACTGGTAGAGATAATGATGTTGGAGAAAGAGACCATTTATGGTAGTAAGACCTTGTCATGTGTTTCCCATGTTGATGTACACGACTCCATTTTCCCACAAAACCCATCACTTATAGACATCCAAAAGCATACATATGCTAGGAACTGCAAAGCGAATTACTGAAGTTATATACATATTTTGGTGAAGTGGTAGCACGGTGTCATTTAAAAAAATGTTGTGTGATCATTCACACCATGCCTTTTGAAATATTAGCATCCAGAATTTTAAACAATTCAAACTACTAAATTGTAGTTAATAAACAAAATTAAATCGATACATTACAATAATATATTGAAATATTCATTAAATTAAACACAGTAAATAAATTACATGACCTCACACTTAAACAGATCTGAAATAAGCTAAGTAGGGAAAATGAGCATTTGCTTATTACTATTACTGAGAAGAGAAAAGCATTTTTAAATTTAAATAAAAAAGAGTGAGAAGGATCATGTGGACATTGTGGACCTTGGGCTAAAATTCAAAACAATCCTAAGTAAATCAAAATTCTAATTACTTGAAATGATCTAATAGCCAATTAACTTGAAAAAAAAGTATAACAATCAAAATGCGAATTTATATATTCACCTGGATAAAAGAAGAAGATGAAGGCTTAGATGTTGCCGGAGCCTGCTGTCTGCAGGTCGCTGGGAGACCGGAGGAGATACACTGTGGCAGACTGCGGGGAGGAGAGCGGGAAAAGAGGAAGGGCGCTGCGGAGCGGCGCTGGACTGGAGCTTGGTGGAGAGAGCCTGGCTCCTCCAAGTTGCGTGTTGCGACAAAGGGGTCCAAAGAGACGAACTAATTTGAGCAAAATTAGGGAAATGTATACTCCCTCCACTGCCTCCAGTTTGTTGCTATGTTTTGGACATAGAGGTGAACAAGTAACCACCCAATCCATCCCTAATATTCTTTAAAAACAGGGAGATTATAGAATTGTACCGTACTGAATCAAATGGTGGTCAAATATTTGAGGTTGGTACGGGGTAACATCACATACCGAGAAATTTTAAATCGAATATATATACAAATATATTATAAAAATAATTATGTATTTATATTTCTTCTTTAAGAGTCTGCTCTTTATAACTTAAACTCTTAACTTTTAAAATCTTTCCAGTTTCTCCCAGTTCTTCGTGTTTCTTTAAATTTCTTCCAACTATTCTCATTTTTCTTCTAATATTTTCTACTCCATGAACAATTACTTCAAAACGATGTATTTTTAATGTGATTATTATTATCATCATTTCTATTATTATTATTATTATTATTATTATTATTATTATTATTATTTTTATTATTTTTATTATTATTATTATTATTATTATTATTATCATCATCTTCATTATTATTATTATTATTATTATTATTATTATTATTATGTTCATAACTATAGTTTATAAATTATTTCATTTTTTTCTGAAAAGAATAGAGAAAAAGGAAAACAAAGAAGGAAAAGGAAAACAATGAGCAAAAAAAGTCGGGATGCAAAAAAGGAGCGAAGAAAAAAGGCGTCTCACATTTCTCTTTATTACTCAATTTTTATTCATTTTTATTTATCTCAAAAAATTAATTTTTTTCCATTTTTCAATAATTTATAAAAAAAATCAAGTCAAAATATTTTAGAGAAAAAAGACTATGGTAGGAGTAAAAAACATAAAAAAATGTACCAAAAAAATTTGAATTTCTATATTTTATTTCCAAAATAAGAGTTACAATGCAAATACGATGTTCTTTTTTTTCTTTCGGACTATCCGTGACCCTCTGCCTAGTGAGCCGCTGTTCTCCCGCGAGAAAAAAAAACGGAGACGAGTGCTGGAGCCGAGTCGCACCAATTTCTTTGTGCGATTGAAGCCTGTCGACAACCGGGAATTCCAGCAGAATTCCGTTGAAGGGACAGAAGCTCCAACATCTAGGGGTGGTGTTGATTCCCGCTGCCAGAACCGGGCCAAAATTCCTCGGTGGAGTTGGTAAGTCGAATCTAGGCATTAGATTCGCCAAGGTACACTGATATATATCCGGGAGCATGCCCGAAGACTCTCCGTAGCCCGCCAAGGGAAAGACAGATCAGGGGAATAAAGCCCAAGTGTGGTGACATTAATTGGGTTGAAGCTTCTCCATTTTCCTGTCTTAGAACCCAACCCAACACCATGGTTGTCCTACACCCACCCTAAGCTGACCCCACACTCTCCATACCTTCCCTAAACATCCAAAATATTTCCTTTTCAAAATAAAGTTTTCCTACTCCTATTTTAGGCCCTGGCCGAAAATAAGAGTGTGTAAACCACAACCTTTTGTTTGTTGTTATTTTCTTTCTTTTAAACCTTTTAATAAACAAATAAAACCTTCTATCCTTTTCTATAAATCCCAGGCCAAATATCCCTCATTATCCCAACACAACATCAACCAAGATATTCCCCATTCTT